AAGAAGTACAACATTCAAGGGCGTCAAATAGGTTTACGTGACGTCTGAGGGAGGGCGCTTCACCCTTATACACAACTGGGGCAATCGATAGAATCTCCCGCGGTGCAATTGAAGCGGCGCTATGGCATGTACAAGTCCCGCTGGCGAATGTAAATTTCTCTAAAAAATTGTGCTGGTACAAAATTGAGTCCGTAGGGCCAAAGTGTGGACTGAAAGGTTGAAAAGGTGATTGGTTGGTTAGTGGCGTACGCGGAAGAGATGGACTACGTCGACCGCATCGGTGAGTGAAAGAGCCGCTTACATATAGGTATATTGATCACGTGCCCGCTTTATTTCTTCCTGTCATTGAGTTTTATTATGGTCAAAATGTTGCTATCGCTTCGGGAATCGGAAATAATCTCGTTTGGCTCGAATCGAAGATGCTGGTAATCAGCCAAGTAGTTCATAATATGTTCGCGCTTTGCACGCGAGAAGTTGAGTTCTCCTTAACTTTTGCGTTGCTGCTGTTTAGTTTCCATCACTCCCTTCTTGTATTAAGATTTATTGTTGTTTGAACTTTAACATAAGGCGATAAAACTTTGAAACGGCGATTTATCGTCTAATGAGCCCTATTATCCGAACATAAAGTAATACTATCGAGAACAGCTACATTGTACCTATTTACTGATTGTACATATGAATATTATATTATTAAACTGCTTGGATTAACAAATAAACAAATTTTAATGGTAATTGCTGTTAAATATTATTTATTAGCCCAAGACGACGTTTCGCTTGTATTTAGCAGAAGCCTTTTCGAGTCAAATTAACTTTTAGTTAGTGTGATGTTATAGCACTTGACGAGTTCAGTTCCCACGATCTAAACGGTAATTTGACTTAAAAAGGCTTCTGCCAAGTAGAAGCGAAACGTCGCCTTGGACTAATAAACAGTATTTAACAGTAATTACCATTAAAATTTATTTATCCTACATTAACAAATAGATTACTCATGGATCCAATATTGAAGACAATACGGAATCTACTCTACGTATCATTGGTATACTGCTTATTAAAACGCAGATGAAAACCGTAACGTTATATTGCTAAATTTTTTGCGTACGAGGGCGCACATGTAAACAAAAACACGTAAATCACAAAGGACGAAACGAGAAAGAACGGATGCAGGACCCTGTTCGCAGCAGAGCGTTTTTTCTCTTTTGTTTAATTGTACATTCGGCGTTGTCAACAGACGCCGTTGACTTCTGGCGTCACTGTGATGGACGCAGAATGTAAACGTGTTTAGCAGTTTGATTGAAACCCTGTGGGGTGTCTTTTAAAGAATGAAGGCGCCTTTTTTGCTGGTGACATAAAAACATGCACGGATCTACCATACCGCGACGAAAGGTCCAGACTACTTTTAAAATGAATCAGAGGAATCAGTGAGTCTGGCAATTTCAAAATTTGTCCTGATGGTGTAGATGCTGACTCAAATGCATTCTCTTTATAATAACATAAATCTACAATTTCTGTTTTCTGTTATCTGTAGAAATACTGAGAAATTCTGATTTCCCGCTGTCATTAACATTTTGCTTGTGAGTGGTTTACGTCGCAGTCAGTATTTCACTGGGATGTTTGGAGCAATGCAAAGGTGAATAAAATATAAAGGACCGAAGCCTATGCAAATAATTATTTGTTTATTAAACACAACTGTTTACTGCCCGTTCCTCTTTAGTTAAGGACCCCGGAACAGTAGGCACTATTATGAATTGTTTAGTACTCGGGTAGACACCAAAAGAAGAACATCTTGTTTTATTTACTCGGCAAGAAATTTAGTACGCCCTCGGTTACTGCGCTCATACAAAATTAATTGATAAAGTCTGCCCCAGCTTCATTAATTAGGTCCATTCCGAATCTACAAAAGCGGCATTAATTTTTAACTATTTTAGTTGCTCTCGCTTCTTGCTTCCATTGTGCAATTTACATCCAATGAAGATTGTTTAAACGGAATTCGGTTAGTTAGTTATAACGCAGACTAAAAAATTCTAAATGTTACACACCTGTAATTTTGAGGTTGAATGGAAAAGGTAAGAATTAAAGCTTTTGGTGTTTATTGAATTACAATTCATTGGTTGTTTAGAATCGGCATCACAAGAACGACAATCTGATGAAGAAGAAGACCGTAATAATTTTTATATTTAGCTATTATTATCTTTTTCATTACAAAAGGTCCAAATTCCTTAGCAGTTCGTTTGAATAAATGTAATTAGGGATACCGACAGGTAACAATAATGGATAAACATTTTGGTTTGACTCGATTTGACATTTTGAACACGATCAATGACGTGAAACTTTAATGAACAAACGCCTTTCGTCAGGATCGATCGTTCATTAGTAGCATTGAAAGCTTGGGAAGGACAGTAAGTTTAATTGTTCTATTACGTTACAAATAAAAGTAATTGCGTCAGAAGATTTTCAATTAAAGAAACTTACTGCGCTTGGCACTTCAAATTGGATGACTATTACATCAATTAAACGAGGCACTGTAAAATACGTAATAGTACCAACGCTGGTTTTTAACCGATTTTAAAGTTGATATGCTCTGTCTAGATATTCTTACGCTATACGTATTCAAGAGACAGAATGCATTTAAAAATAGAATGACTAACAACTAATAACCCCTTTAATAGATATATTTTATATATATTATTATTAAATTGAAAATAAAATACGGTGAAAAATTAACCCACCAGCCACCCATTACCACAATCTCAGGCTTTTCATATATGTACTTTGTCGCTCATGTGCCTACTTACTACGATAATGTAAAATGGCAACGGGCTAATAAAGTCATAATTGCATTATTAACGAATTCTTAGACTAACCTGTAATTAACAAGGGAATACTCAGTCACTTGAAAGAATTGGGCTCGAACGATGTAGTTAGTAGGGTGTTGGAAGGGTCCTAATAATGTGACTGATGGCTAATAACTATTTCAAGCGGAATCGATGAAATGCACTTGTGTATCATAATGATGTACATCTAAACTTCTCGAAACGCTTTATGTTTGTGTTAGAATTAATTTACAAATCCTTGGGAACAAATAATGGCGTATCAAAAGTTTGTGATAGGTACCTATACAAAAACAAAAGAAAATGAAATTTCTCTTGAAATCCATTATTGCCAGATATTAAAGTACAGACTGAGTGCATTTCAGTCATCCCCATTACGACGATACGATACGGTACCACAGCAAGCAGCAAGCGTATACAAAAGCAAGATAATTGTTAGTGGGCCTGGAGCTGTTGCCTGGAGACGCGACTTATAAGCAGCGGAGTTCGTCATATTAACCCCTCGAATCGCTGGCTCGAAAAATATTACAGATGAAAGCATTACGTACTACATATTTTTTGTGCTGTTTATACCTGAATAAGCAGACAAATTGCAGGAAGGAGACTTAAAACGTGCGATTTAAGGGTGCGGCTGGATTTATTTTCGACGAACTCCGTCTGCGATCTCGCGAAGCTCTAACGCCGACAAGACAAACAAATCTTTCTTTTAGCTTATTTGGAATTTTAATTTAATATTGTCTTCTTTGTTTCGCCTGAAATCTGTATCGCCACAATCAAAACATGTATTTAAAGCAACTGTTTTTCGTTGGGTTTAAAATAAACCCTAATACCTACTACCCACATCATCATCATAAGGTCGTCAGTCCTAAGACTGGTTGAACACGCACCTGCACTCTACACCCCACAAACTTAACCATTTGTGGGCATTAATCTAATGTAGGTCTACCCTTAACTCCTCTTGGTGCTTCCAATATGTCTCTGATCAGCCCCCCTATATGAAAATAATTAAAAAGTATTTGCATACTTTTCCACTTTAAACTATTTCCGAACGTTTAATAAAGAGTAAAGGCTATAAAGGTAAGTTATGTGCTGAAAAGATTGACTGCCGTGATGGGTAGGTACTCTGAAGTGTTCAATCGATGCGAAGCGGCAGATTTTATTCAAACAAATAGTTCTGGAATGACATTAGTTTTTGCATCCATCCAGCTATAACGTCTGCCGTGAATTCCCACCGGCCACGAACACAAATACATTGACGAAGCTCGAACGAATCCAAACGGCTGCAGAAAGCTGCAGAAAGACAATCTCGAGGATTGTATTGATTGGCAAGCCGCAGTGGGGAAGCACAGATTCGGCCCGATAAACATTCATTACCTGCTTCTGTGCTTGCTTCTCTCTTCTTCTCTTCCATCTCGGACGTTCCAGCCTCACGCGCTCACTAAATTTAACTCCGCTCAATTTAGATTAGAGCCGCTGTCCGAAACAATGCTTTTGTTAGTATACCTCACACTCGACACCTTTTGAATTAAGACAGCATGTCCATCAACGAACGACTCGGGCGAGGAAAGCAATAATTGAGAGAAACATTTTCAGCCGTCGGTCGAGTGCCTTTCAGAACTAAATTAAAGCTCTAACTAGGTATCATTCGAAAGGATTGCCCCCTCGGAAATTTTTGACCATTAGCACGTAATCCCGCAGAAATTGGACTAAACAACGGTTCATAACTATAGCAATCGAAAGGTACTCATCGTTAATCGAAAGGGAGAACTGATAGTCAGATGTGTTATTAGAAAAAACTCTTCTCTGACGTTTTAGGACACTCTTTCCATCTAAAATTATGCAATCATTTTTTGTAAGGTTCTGTGATTAAAACAAAAAATACTTGATGTCGTACTATATTTTTGCCAAATTTTTAAAACTATTCTAAACCAACCATGTGCATGATATCAATGCATCGCCTAGTGGTAAACAGTCGAGTTTTGCGATCATTTTATGTTGCAAGACCCCTGGTTTTGTGGTTTCAATTCAATTTAAATGTACGTATTATTTATATGTAGTAATTGACAAATAATTTAGTTGGCATTCCATTTTAAAACCTCAAAAAATATCGGTAGGTTCTTTTATTTAGACAAAGATAAAAAAACATTTATTTACAATTGATAATCTTTTCAGAATACGTCCTAAGTAGTGGAAGCCCTAGAACAGCGGGCTATCCTGCCAGATCTCCAATGTCTTCTAATGTTAATTCACAGCATAGGTAAGTGTTAGTATATAAATTGACAAAAGTTCCTGTTAATACGTGCATCCAAATTATGTCTACTTGTCTTTGAAGTTAATGTTGTCATTTTTTACTTAAAAGAAGCAGTACGCTCGGGGCCAGTATTAAAAAAGTTAGAAAGGTAGTTTACTTTCTTAAAGATTCTCTATTTAGTAACAATGCATAAAACTGTTTCATAAAATAATCATCTTTTAAATGTCTCCCTTAAACCGCTTCTATCGTGCGAAAATGGGTTACTTTCTTGAACGACCTTTGTTCAAACGAAACTTTCTTCATCGAAATATGTTATTACTTACATTACTTTCGAGTGGCAGCGATATATGGTCCTCTATCAGATAATGTTTACAAAAGTTCATTTCACTAAAAGCTCCTGAACAACTTCCTTTTCAGTCCACGTGCGAAACCACTATAACCACATAGATTGCTTCTCCCGGAAAGCATGTACAAAGGTATCGACCGCATCCTATGCTTTCAAACTGAAGCGTTTCCTTTCATTCATTCCCATTGTTTTCCTAATACATGCGTTCTTGGCAATCTCACCTTCGTAAAATGTAAGAGCTATTAATAATTTTGTCTAAGTATATCTTCATTGACTTCTAAAACTATGAAAACCAATAAATTAATGACGAAAATATGCACTTGACGTTAAATTTTCATATCCATCACTTTTAAGCAGTTATTTTTGTATCGAAATTGTATAAGTAACTGGAATACCTAGCGTGATTATCATGAGTACATATACTTACAACAAATATTTATATTATTCAATCGAGTTGTTTTTACAAAAGAAAGTTCCCATTTTTTGTTTTCTTAAACTCAGTTACACCCCACTTGTTCTCGAAGCAGAAATTATTTGTTACGAGATGCAGATAAAGGTATCTTTGTTGATGAATATTTATGAGCAGCGTTCGCAATTTGCGTGTATATTTTAGAACAGCAAGCAGATTGCAACATTAATGAGAAGTTTTAATTTTCAACGTGCTGAATTTTTGTGGTTTATTAATAACAGTAAGTGCTTCCTTTTAATTTTTCGTGTTCCCTACCTACCTTCCTTATTAATTTCATAATCCTACCGAATTTTCAGTAAACAGTAAATTTTATAACAATACAGGGTAATATGCAATACACCTCAGCATTGACCAGTGTCTCATGGCCAAAACATTGGTCACTTGTTAATTTGCTATCGACTCACGATTACTCAATTTTTTTTATTCAATTTGCCATAGCGTAAAAGCTGATGTTGGTATAGGATATATATTATATGTACATATGAACGTGACGTTTTAGAAATCGGGAAGCATTCTTGTCGATAACGATAGAGCAGAGATTTGTACGTAGTAAGCGCCATTAGTTATACGCGGCACCTCTCGAAGAAAAATGAAAATTTCATTCCGATGCATATCCGGTTTTCCACGGTCTGACGCTAAAGCTTTTCCGATAATTGCGCAAATGAAAATGGAAGCGGCACATGACCATCGCTCTAAAACAAAATGACCGCCGTGCGTGCTCTGTTGCAGTAAAAGGACTAAAACATGGCCGATGCAACGCCGACGGTCCTTATTCATTAGGCGCCTATTTATAATCTATTGTACAATACCTTCTAGTTTGCATGTTTTGCATTCGATTCGAAACAAAACTTAGTATTGCAGACGAATACGTGTGGGTATGTAAAATACGGAAACTGGTTTTCTGTTGGTTTTTTGAAGCGGTTATTAAAACGCTAATGAGGTAATCGATTGCATTCTTACCAACATTTGTTCAAAATAGTACATGTAGTTCTGTGTTTCTTGAATTCTGTTCCGTTTAATTTTTACATCCTTATTGCCCTTCGTACGTTACAAAATAGACACAGTTACAGTTCAAGACAATTAAATTTTATGCGGAGCTGATTTAGTAAAAGAAGCTTTCAGGAAAATCACAAGGCAGCGCTTGTATAAGAAAGAAATTGATTGAAGCCAAGCGCCCGGTTGTGACAGGGTTCATCTTTCCATTAATATACCGAACCTACTAATAATGCCATCAATCTCTAGTCACCATAAATGTACCTACACATACAGAGGCAGGCAACAACATACAATCACGAGTGTTGACTAATTAAAAGGTTTTGTGTAGGGACTCTTCGGTCCCCTTTAATTTTGCCCGTTCGGTATTCACTCCATGCACAACACAAAGTCACACAGTTAATTTGTTTTTCTTGCAAGAGACCGAAGGGAAAGGCCTTTTCCCTTTTACGTAAGCTTCAAAGGCACCGAAACCATAAAGGTGGTGGCGGTAGGGGTTAAATTTATCAACTTATATTCACATTAAAACCTTGAAATTGTGGAAACTTCAACAAAGCCCTGTTGTCGACTTTCTCCTCCTTCTATTTACATAACAAAAATATACCAGCCATTTTAACTAAAACTTTTGCCATTAAACGACAAAATAAGTCGTTTTTATGATTTGCTATGTGGGTTTGTTTCAACCTTTGATTGAATGTAACTTCTGCCACTAGGTAACAGTATTTCGTTTAGCTTTTGTAATTAAAAGTTTTAGTTGAAATTTATATCTCAAAATGATTTCGCCAAAGAATTTCTACTAATAAATAATGGAATAATTTAAGCGGAAAATAAAAGTACTTGTAAGGAACATTTTCTAATATGCCATCAATCGGTTTACGTTAATATCTAACAGAAAACATTTCTATTCTCAGTTGACTCTAAAATAAGTAAAACAATACCAAGAAACTATTTAAAATGTATAATAACTTTCATTGTTTATAGGGTGTCTATGTTTAAATAATTTTATAACCTTTTCGCAAAACATCAGACAAAAGCTTCACCCTTCACTTTGTTAATAAGTATAACCATGAGTATTGCAATGAATGTGTAAATTATGCACTACTGATTATAATAAATGTATATTATAACCGCTTTATATTTTTAGTCTTTGCCTGCTACATCGTGCGTCTTCTCCGTGAATTCCCTTGAATTCATGCTTTAAATACAAACTTTCTCAAAGCTTTTATTTACCGAACGTGGTCGTGAATCGGGGAGAATTTCAGACCCATACAAATTATACGTTTCCTCTGAAATGAATACTAAATTTTCCATTAAATTCTGCAGAGCTGTTTACTCGACATTAACGCGCTAAAATGCCTTTGCTCAAAAAGGCCGCAATATTACTTAAAGTTGTAGCAATTCCTTTCGTTGTTCTGTTTGAATTATGTAAGTGGATATCTGAAAAGTGGGATGCATACTACCCATTCGATGGTAAAATTACTGCATTCGTTTTAGAGAGAAATGTGCGGAATATTAATTAATTTAAAGGTTGGAAATTAGCTTCCGAGGCACTAAACGGAATTTACAAAAATTAACCTAGTGTAGATTTCAAAAGAGCGTGAAACTAAGACATATTGCTTTGGTCGACTTCTGCACGATCTCAAATTAGTAAATCTGATGTTTATTTCCAAAAAAATTTATCATATATAGATAGGTACTGAAGTAAAGCAAGTAAAACAGTACCTTACCCCCGTACTCAAAATAAACTAGATTAAATACATGAACACTCGCAGGCGATCTTTGGTATCGACTGTCTAGCACGTCCAGGTCGTGACTGGCACTCTAAGTGCTTTTTTATTGTCGATCCCGATGTTTGTCTTTTATGAGAAATCCACGTCGCATTCGAGGGTTCGAATCGACTCTTTGATGGATTCGAAACGGGATGGAATTATTGATTACCTACAAGCACCTGAATTACATCTGCACACTTTGCACTCTTTCTCTTTTAAATGGACAACTTTCCAAAGGGTTACATGATAAATTAGGAGTAAGGGCATAGCGAAAGATAAATTCATTTCCTTTAAAATCACTAATTGTTTGTTGTTTTTCGTTTTAATTGCAACCAGATTTATCACCTACTTAGTTGCAGCAATTAAAGCGACAAATACTTGATTTGACCTGTTATAATAAAACAGTGGAGTTTGTCCTTTTTGCCATATTCTTTGCTCCCAATTTGGTTGAAGATTAATCGACAGCATTCCCTAAAACCAAAGTTTATGAGAGAGAGAGAGAGGTCGTTACTCTAATAATCTGCACTGTAGTTATCTCATCTTCTGCCATCCCTTTTCATATACCAAACTTCGGCGTGTTCTTTTGATCTTCAAAGTAATTACAGCCTCAGAGCTGAATTATTAGCACGTAAACGTGAAAACTGATACTTGCGCTACAAACAAAGCAATATAAATATTTGTGCAGTCCGTTATTACCATATGGCTGAAAGGGTTAAAGATCGAACCCCAATTCGAAACGAACCTTTTTGTTTGTACACGTTCTACCTATTGAGCGCGTCCGGAACATCCTTTTAACGTTTAATGAAATATCTGCCCGGATCGTATTACTTATAGGTAGATACTATTTCTGCATACTGAAAACATAGAAAAGAAAGACCTACCTCCACTTCGCGATATCGAAATCAGGCAATATCTATCAAATATCGAAGTAAAATATTAAAAGCAAATTGTTTTGACAATATTTAAGATATTTTTTGTAAATATATAAAACAAAACATACGGCGGAAAATTTGATGTAATATCTGAAATCTTCTTCTGCATTAGGCTGAAGAAATCCAAACAATCTAGGTAAATTTTGATGTATTAAACGAATATTTATCTGATTTATTTAAAAACAACAACAACAACTACTACTGTTCAGACCAGGGTACATTTACCTGCCGTTTCCTTGAAACATTAAGTTGGAAATTCAAATATTCAATTTTGTTGGTTTTTACAAATATTATATGTAAGTGGTTTAGGTATAAATATCTTTAAGATACTTTATCTTCAAATACTTAAATAATATTAGAAACCAGTTGGTTAGCACTTTCACCCCTTCCTCTATCAGGGTGGAGATTATGTTATAAATAGGCTGACACACTCATAA